CCACCTGACAGTACCCAGTCCTGGGAGCTCCTTTCTTGCCCCCACAGAGTACCATTAAGAGAAACCCCAGTTTCTTCTACTGGTGGAAAAAATAGATCCTTTCCAAATCTGACTCCACAAGGAGGATCCCAAGCTCCAGGACCAACGCAAGCCAAGCACATGGAGTCCCCGCCTGCTATCACGTCCTGGCACCCCCAAAGCCTTGACAGAGGTCCCAAACCAGCAACCCCGACCAACAGCAAACCTCGACGTAACCACAAATACCCTCCACTCTAACCCCAAGACACGGAGAGAACACATACTCTAAAAAGCTTGGCAAAAACCCACCCACAACACGTGCTGACTCGAAAAATCTACTCCAGCTCCAGCCCCCCAAACCCGCCCCTCTGACTCCAAGAACACACTGCGGTAACCTAAAAAAATTCCTCTCTATAACTCAAAATACGTGGTTCCTTACCGCTAGAGCAAGAACAGTTTGGATCCATCTCCTCCAGGAAGAAAAGAACAACTCGAAACAGACAACAAGAAACACCACAGGAGCTATCTATTAAGAACTTTAGCGACCGCCGCCGCGGGCTGACTTTATAGGCGGAGCGGGTGGCCCGGGCGCAAAGGCCCCGCCCCTGCCCTTGCACCCGCCCCGCCGTGAGCGCACCTCCTGCCGCGGCCTTGGCGGTGCTGTGTGCAGTTGGCGGGGCCGGGCGCACGAGTCCCGGGGGAGGGGTTGGGGGGGGGGGGGGTTGGGGCCCGCTGCGCACGGTGCGGAGGGGATGCGCGCCGGTTGGCATGCGTTGTCTCAGTCACCCTGCTCGCCCCTGTGGGTCTCCCCGAGTTCGGTAGCCGGCCCTGTTACCGCGTGTTCCGGGAACCCGGCGCCTGGTTCCGGACCGCTTTTCCCACCCCCGTACCCCGTGCAGGCGTCCCCGGGGTCGCCCTTCCTGGAGCCCGTGTGCAACCCTGGCCTCCCCTCTCCCCGCGGGGAGGGGCTTGTGCCGAGCGACCTGAGAGAGTTGTGTGCAGAGGACAGGTGATGAATGTGAACTTTGCTTCCCTTGGCCTGTCGTCCCCGTGTCCCCAGGTGGGGCTGGGGTTTCAGGCCCTTTTTTGCTGTGCACCGTGTGGCTGACCCAGACCGCTGCCTCTGTCCATTCTGCTCACCCGAACGGATATAGGGGCGCGATCGTGCAGGGTCTTCTTGGCATTACAACTAGTGCTCCCCACACCTGCTGGGGCACCCCAGTCCCGGCGGTTTCCAGAGGGTGAGATGGTGACGGGGAGACCTGTCTCTGAATAAAAAAGTAAGAAAAGTAGTTATTTCCGTTTCAACATTCTGAGAATTTAAATATAATTTTGTATGTGCCAGGCCATGTTATATTCACTTTTGATTTGTGTACCCTTACAAAGACCCCAAAAGGGAATTACTATTACTCCTAAGCACTTTTTCTTAAAGGATAACTACAATACAGAAGTCTAAGTTACTTGGCCCCGGTCCAACAGCTAGAAAGTTGTACTCTGATGAATCCAGTCAGCTTTCTAAGGGAAAGAGAAGGTCTATGATAAACCTGACTGTAGCGTGGGAATGGCTACACTTGCCTACTGCTTGGAACCTTTTCATTAAGAGTTAGGCTGCCACGTGCCACGTTGGGACGCCTGGGTGGCTCAGTCGGTTAAGGGTCTGCCTTCGGCTCAGGTCATGATCCCAAGGTCCTGGGATCGAGTCCCACGTCAAGGTCGCCACTCAGCGGGGAGCCTGCTTCCCCCTCTGCCTGCTTCTCCCTCTGCTTGTGCTCTTGGTCCGACAAATAAATAAACATAATCTTAAAAAAAAAAAAAAAAGGCTGCCACATTAACCATGGGTAGCAAAAAAAAGTGACCCATTAGTGAAATATATATAATTATATATTATATTCTTATATACTAGCTATGCTTTTCTCGCTATTTTCTATGTCTAGAATAAGACTGATTCTCATTTTCAGTTAAGGATAAACAGTTTCCTTTTCATGTAAATTAAAGAAAACAGGAATCATTTCAAAGTACAATGTTTAATAAAATATGGTGTAGTTGGTAACAGAATGAGCAGGTGTCTTTTGGTATCTGATATAAGGCACAGAACATCTTTCTCGTGGCTTTATACCCACCATGCGGATCACAGTTGTGTGGAGGAGATTGAATGATGCTCTCCGGCCCATAGGTCATATTCTTTTTTTTTTTTTTTAATTTATTTATTTATTTATTTGACAGAAATCACAAGTAGACAGAGAGGCAGACAGAGAGACAGGAGGAAGCAGGCTTCCTGCTGAGCAGAGAGCCCGATGTGGGGCTCGATCCCAGGACCCTGAGATCATGACCTGAGCTGAAGGCAGAGGCTTTAACCCACTGAGCCACCCAGGCGCCCCCATAGGTCATATTCTTATGTGGCTGATAAAGACCACACAGGAAACATAACTGCGCATACCAGCCTGGGCTTATTTGTCTGAAGGGAAATAAATACCCCTATGCTACGCATCATAATAATAAAGTCATACCTAGCACCTCAGGCCCAGCGTGTTTGTCTGGAAATAAACAAATAATCCTTATGCTACGTACGTATAATAATAATAAAGTAACAGCGAATATTAATAGACCACTCATCATATGCCAGACACTGTTCTAAGTTCTTTATATGTATTAACTCAATCATTTGAGTCAGATGCCTTTTTTTTTTTTTTTTTGCCCTTTTTACAATAGAGGAAGCTATATGCCGGAGAGATTTATGTCAAGCAGCTGTGACACAGGGGGGAGTGGCACCCACGTGAGTTTACTGCAGTATCATGCCCTCGCACTAGCACCTGGCACCATGACTTCATGGGAAAGGTGAGACACTGGACGCCTGGCACAGAGGCAGCGTGGGGAGAGCCCTGAGCTGGCAGTCAGACCCTCTGCATAGCTCTGTGACCTCTCTGGGCTTCGGTTTCCCATGTTTCAAGCTGGGGAGCAACTGGTCCATCCCCAAAGGCTCTTCCAGCTTTGACTAGTGAGAAGCGATATAAGCACCTAGTGAATCATCATCAGGCAGCGATGGACCGGAGACCCCTGATTAGAAGCTGTGTGACCCTGGGCAGTTTGCTTAACCTCTCAGAGGACAGCACAATTACTCCAGCCCCTGCATGTTCATTCTCTCTCTGATTCCTACAAACAAGAGGACGTGAAGGATGGTAAAGACTTTCATGTCTGTCCAAATGCTGTGGCTGCCTCTTGTCCCTGGGGACATCGTGTAGGAGGTACCTCCCCTCCCCCAGCACTGGGTCAGCAGATTTCCAATCCCATCCTTAACCTCCAACCCAGAGTAATGCTTCCTAACTATTGACCCTTTCCCCAAGAGCTTTTTGGGATCCAACAGGGATACCCTCTCCACAAATGTTGGTGTGGACATACTGACCACTGTTTATTAAGCCCTAGCCAGGAGCCAGGAAACTGTCATTTAATGCCCACACAGAGACAGAATCTCCTCTCTACAAAGGAAGAAATGGAGGCTCAGTGAGGTTGAGCAGCTGGTCCAGGCCCCCTGTGGCAAAGTAGGCTGTGAACCCAGACTACCTAACACCGAAGCCCACGCCCTGGACACACGCTGCCTTCTGAAATCCCCCTTTCACACCAGGCACCTGCCGGCAAGCAGGGGCCTGACTCCGGACATGACTCCCTTTTCCCTGTGATCCAACATCAAGAAGCAATTCCCTCCACAAATAGCCAGGGGGACTAACCGTTGTCCTTAATTACAAGTCACTGTGGGCCTCACTCCTGCCTAATAAACACCACCACGCCCTCCAAAGCGCAAAAATCAGCCACCACCGTTCACAGGCAACCTCCTCCATCTGGAACCAGTTCCCAGGTACCCTCCCTCCTGCTCTGGGAAATGGCTGGTCACTTCCCTCCAGTTTTCTAGTCACTCTGTTGGTTTCAAGTTGCCAAGGACAACTGGATTCTGGAGGGACAGATTCCAGCCTGACCTAGGGGGGAAACTTCCAAAGATTCAGAGCCAAGCCACAGCAGGGAGCTCTCAGGGGTACAGGGTGTTCCCTCAGTGGCACAATGGCAGAGAGGAGGCAAGTTCCCTGTGGGGAGGGATAGCCAGGACAGTGGTCCTCAAGATGTGTGGTCCATGGCATTGGGGCATTTGTGAATTCTCTCTAGTGCTCAGTGGACATCTTCCGTGTACATATGTATGTGTGGCATTATAAAAACTAATTTTGTTCTTCCCATATTCATTGAAATCATGTGCGCTCAACCTAAAAACACGGGTTTTATATTGTTCTTTTATGGCATTTTCATAAAATCTATGTATTTTTTTCTATAAATATTTTTAGCTCACACAAACAGGCAGAGAGGGAGAAGCAGGGAGCCTGATGGAAGGCTCAATCCCCAGGACCCTGGAATCACCACCTGAGTCTAAGGCAGCTGCTTAACTCAGCCACCCAGGCACCCTTATGTATATTAAACCAAGGTTTAATTCGGGATGGACAGAAAGTAAAAAAACGCAGCTTTCCCACAGGCAGCTTTCCCACAGGTATTTTTTCTTTAAGCCCCAGATAGGATTCAGAACAGGGGAGGGTTTTTTTTTTTTTTCCACATCCTGTAGTCAATTTCAAGCCTTGACTCTATGACGAACTGAAGTTAGGCAGAGAAACCGGGAAGCGTTAAGTCTGTATTGATAGGGAACCTGCCTGGTTATCTGTAGAGCTGTGACTGGATCTCTGAGCGGGGAGTTCAAACCCCACACTGGGAATAGGTTATTACTTAAAAGCAAAATTGGCATGAGAACACAGGGCTCCCAGACCTTTATATCCTCTGGAATGATGCCTTTTCATTTTACCGAAGATGAAGTTCCCTGAACTCACTGGCTTTGCCTTAAAGCATTCAGTCTTAGGGAATTAACATCTGTGTCCAGAAACAGGTTTCTGCAATTCTGGTGGAATTCCCTACCCCAACCCTCGTGGGCACGCAAAAGAAAAACAGACTGAGAATACAAGTCAACAGCTTTTATTATGTAACTCATGTATTTTATAAGGATTAAACAACAAGGAATGTAGGAAACTGGTCAGGGTTGTATCCCAAACAAAAAAGCACCAAGAAACACTGTAGGTTTGCACATGTCGCTCTATTTACATCGGAAACAGGCTCCCTGGGATCAGGCACAGCAGCTGCACTTGTCCGACGCCCCTTTGCAAATGCAGCCCTGGGCGCACTTGGCACAACCCACCGGGCAGCAGGAGCAACAGCCTGGAGGAAGAAAGACGGCAGAGATTAAATACTGGGCGCACTATGGAAGCAGCACCTTCCCTCCCAAGAAAAGGATTATCAACCATCCAGTTTAAACTCCCCTCGGGGCATAAAGAGTAAAGATGCACAGAAGTGTCTTCTCAAAGATTCCACTCACTCTTCTTGCAGGAACTGCATTTGCATTCTTTGCATTTGCAGGAGCCAGCGCACGTGCAGGAACCACCTGCAAAAAAAAAAAAAAAAAAAAAAGGGCAGTGCGAACCATGCGTGGGCTCAACAGCCGGGAATGCATACTAGAGGTCCCGGTGAGCGTTCCTACCCACAAACAGCCCCATCCCCGAGGAAAAGGAATCAACGACTCTGAATTTCCTTACCGGTGCCACAGGAGCAGTTGGGATCCATAGCGTAAAAAAACGGCGGCTGGAGTCCGTGGACAGTAACACAACGAACAGCAAAGACTTCAGGGAACCGTGGTGAAACTCACCCCCCGAGGGCCGTCTTTATAGCCACAAGGAGCCGGGGCGAGTGCAAAAGCCCGCCCCCTGGCCGCTGCCTGCACACGCCCCGCGCTGAATCATCCGCGGCCGCGCGGCGCACGGGGCTCTGCACACGGCCACTCGCCCGGTTCCCCGAAGTCGCCTCCGTGAGCCCCGGGCCACCTCGCATGACGGAGGGCCGGGTGCAGAGCGGGAACGCCGCGTGCCTGGGGGCTGGGCCGTGTGCCCAGCACTCTGCCCCCGTCCTCTGGCGTGCACACCTCCCGCCCTCCTGGCCTGTGCCTGAACTCATCTGTGGAGGGGACAGGGAGGTGGGGTAAACTGGGAAGGAGTGGGGAACTCTGCTTGGATAGAAAAATCGGCTGGAAGTGCAGATTACAAAAACCACTGGGTACGGGTCAAGGCTTAATAATTCTAACAGCAGAGTAAGCCCATGGGAGATGGATGGTTATGGGTACCGTATCTATCCAGTGTACATTAAGGGGCTTTATTGTGGGATTGTGTGTGATTATGTGTTATCTGCCTGCTCTCATTTAATCCTGTAGTAACTGTTAAAAAGAAAATGATAGGCCCAGAATGGTGTCATTTAGGTCAAGTCACCAAAGTGAGCTTAATACCTAATCTAACAGCAGTTTCAACCTCCCTCAGAAATAGAAGTCTTAGGGGTCAATCAGGAATTTTCTGATCAGCACCCAAGAGGCCATCTGTCCCCCGGTTCCTCTCCATTTCCCGAAGGAAGATGAAGTAGTCCACTCAGTAAGACCTCTGCCCTTCCACCTAAGCAAAGGTGACCTTGCCTGAAACAGTCCTTTCTTTTTCCTTGCTCATAACTTCCTGACCCAATCTTTCCTATAGAAACCTTCCACTTCCACTCTGAGGCACAACACCTCAGAGCTCCCGTCCACTTGTTAGATGGGATGCCGCCTGATTCATGAATCATGAAATAAAGCAAATTATATCTTCAAGTGTGCTCAGTTGCATTTTGTTTTTATTTTTAAAAATATTTTACTTATTTATTTGACAGCAGGAGAACGAGCGAGAGAAAGCACAAGCAGGGGGAGCAGCAGAGGGAAAGGGAGAAGCAGGCTCCCCACTGAGCAGGGAGCCTGTTTTCGGAGCTGGATCCAAGGACCCCGGGATCAGGACCAGAGCCAAAAGCAGACACTTAACTGACTGAACCACCCAAGTGCCCCTGAATTTTGTTTTTAAACACAACGTTGTGAGGTAAGATCTATCCCTTAATCTTATTTTAAAGAGGAGGAAATGGAGGCCCAGAGAGGTTAAGTAGCTTGCCTACATCACAGAGCTAATATATGGCAGAGCCGAGTGATTCAAAGTGTCCAGCAGATGCTGAGGATAGATCATCTAGGCGTAGACATCACGGGCAAGGGAGAGCAAGGATCAAGAAACTATAAGCTTGGTGCTCAGGAAACTCAGAGTCAAGGGGGCAGCCCCATGGGCGCATAGGGAAAAGTGACACCAGAGTCCTGGCTAGGATGGAGATTGCCTTCAGGGGCGGGGGAGCAAAGAGGGGAAAGCCAGTCCAGCCTGGAAGGAGGTGGGCCAGTGAGGTAAGGAGGGTGAGAAGGTGTCTGCTAGGCAGAGGAAGGGGAAGGAGTTGTATTACAGCCTGCAGAAGCAGCAGCCCGTTGGAAAGTTGGCATCACCCTGGAACATTTGGAAGGGAAAAGCCCACAAGAGCGTTCTTCCCCCATGTAGCTGAGGGGAAAGCGTGGAGGTAGTGTCCAAATTTCTCTCCGAGGGAGCACACCCTGCTTCCCTGCTCATGTGTGTCTGGCTGCTGGCTAACAGATCTTAGATCATCATCCTTGGAATGCTCTGAGTGTGTCATCAGAGGAGTCAGCAGCCTTCGGTTGCTGGAAGTTTCCTGAAGCTTAGGGAACACCGGTGCCGCGGCAGGGAGTTCAGTGAGGGGGTGGGCAAGGACAGGCTGTTCTCGCAGCATTTACTGTATGGTCCTGTGGAAATGTCTTCATAGCTCAGCAACCGTCACTTGCTCGGGAACCCGTCCTGAACCCCGTGCTGGGTCACAATGCCCATGGAACCTGCTGGTAAACATCCTGTCCTTTTACTTCCTGGCACTTTCTGTGTCTGTAATATGTAAGAACATGCGATTCTTGGATACATGTCTGCGTCCCTCCCCATTCCAGCGCACTGCTGAAAACAAGAACGGTCATTGCCCCCAAAATGTGGCTCCAGCCCGGGCACAGGGCCAAGTCTGCAGTAGGTGCTAATGCATATTTGTCAGATGAATTAATGGGGGTTATCCCCTTAATGTCCCCTCCGTCCCCAGCCCCACCTTACATTAAGGGCCCATTACAAAATGAAAGTAAAAAACTTTTTTTCCACTGCCCTGGGACCTGTGTGCTCACGCTAATAAAAACAGCAAGCAGGGCGGGAGAGTTGTGCCATCAGAGGGTCTAAATTCTAACGGTCACTGCCACTCACTAGCTGAGTGACCTGGGCGCAGTAGCATGCCAGCGCCCCTCAGAGCCTCTGTTTACTCGTCCTGTCAAATGATCCAATTGTACTAGAACTCGAGGGCCACATGCAAACTGATTTTAGAGCCAAGGTCTCGGAAGTCTCACTGTGTCCAGCAGCGTTGGGGACTAGTGCACTCACGGGTCTCCTCCTCCTTGGGTAGTGGGCTGATTTTGTCATTGTTGTTGTTATTTACATAGACATGCATGTTATGTTTAAAAGTCCTGATTTCTAATCAGGAAGTCCCTGGTCCACTCAGGGGAAACAATGAAACTCTATGAAGAGATAATAGGGCTTGTTTTTTGCCCTGAAAGTCTTGAATTTAGCCTTGGGTCTGAGCCATCCATGTTGGTTTTTGTTTTTGTTTTTTAAAGATTTTTATTTATTTATTTGACAGATTACAGGTGGGCAGAGAGAGAAGGGAAGGGAAGCAGGTTCCCCGCTGAGCAGAGAGCCAACGCAGGCTCGATCCCAGGACCCTGAGATATGACCTGAGCCAAAGGCAGAGGCTTAACCCACTGAGCCACCCAGGCTTCCCCGAGCCATCCATGTTGGGAGTAAAATTTGCCTCCAGGCCTTAGCTGTCTGCGTTGAATCACTGTGACTCAGTGAGGGGAAGCTTGGCCAATCACCTAGACCTGGCCCTAGTCTTGCTCGTTGACTTGCCCCTGAAAGCCTCACTGTGCTTGGGACGGAGATGGAGAGGAAGGACCTTCCAATGTCTGCATCCCTAGCATGGTAGAGGATGAATGAGATGAAGCCAAGCAGTATTAGATGAAGAAAAATACCCCCCTGCTAATCTGATGTGAGTCATCAGTGTGAGGCAAGGATGGCCCTAGCTTGCATTAATAGAAGTATGTTATCTGGAATGAAGGAGGTGAATTTTCACTCTCCTTTTAACTGCCGAGGTGGATGTTTATAGTTCTGTCTAGCCATCCACTCATCCTTCCCATAGCAGTACACTTAGTTCTCCTTTGTACAATCTCACCTCCCTACTCTTGGTCCATATGGTTTGGATGGTGGAGACCCTGTCTCTGGGAACCTGGGCCATTCCGCCTCTCTGGCCACAGGGATTGGCTCTGACTGGTTCACCCAACCACGAACCAAAGAGAATCACTGAAACTTTTGCTGGGAATGCTGGGAAAATGAAGTTACTCTTTCCATCTGCACTTGAACCTGAGAGGAGGTGAGGCTGACTTTCTAAGCCTTTTGTCTCTAGGAGAAGAGCCTGAAAATAAAGCCATGGCAAAGGAAATGGAGACCGACCTCACTGGAACACCTGGACCCCGCCATCCCTGAAGCCGTTGTGAGTCAATCATTTCCTTTTTAGTGAAATCATTCTGGATGAAGTTCTAACTGGCACTGTGGGCCAGACTATCCTGAGGGTTGTCTTCATGTCAGGCTTCAACTGTCCAGGAGACGGTTGATCACAATGGTCCTAAAACTCAAAACCCCATCTCGTGAACAACTTTTGAGAGGGGTGGACAGGTTCACTCTGGAAGAAAAGTTACGTTTGCATATTTACACAATGGATGCTCTGATTGTCTACCACTATGCGACAAATGGCCCAAAGCTCAGCAGCTTAAACCACCATTTTACTGGCTCTGGTTTTGGGGGGCAGGAATTCCAACAGGGCTCCTTTGCCTGATTCTTCTGTTGTGTGCATCATCGACCAAGTTTACTTGGAGGCATTCAGCGGGTGAATAGACCTAAGTCAGCTTCACTCACAGGTCTGGCCCCCTGGCAGGGATGGCCGGAGGCCTGAGCTCAGCTAGAGCTCTAGACCAGAGCTCCCACATGGGGCCTCTCCAGCACAGCAGCCTCTGGGCAGTGAGGCTCCTTCTGTTCAGCTCAGGGCTCCAAAGGCATGAGGACCGAGGGTCAGCATGGTAGCTGCGTGTCTCTCAAATCCTAGGCCCTGAAGCTTGCACAGCTCAGTTTCACCACGCTGTGTTGGTCAAGCGGTGCCACATCCTGCTGCTCAGATTCAAGGGGAAACGATGAAGGCCCTATTGTTGATGGGAGTCAGTGACTTTGCAGTCATCTCTAACCTGCCAGAGTAGTTGTGGGGAATACGTATATAATATATATGTAAATATGTAATCTATAAATAATATATTATATATTAATATTATATATTATTTATAGATATAATTTATAGATTTTATTAATATATATTATTTATATATAGATTATACATATAATATATATAATAGATTATATTAATATATAAATATATATTATTTATAGATGATATATGTGTGTCATATATATAACTACAGTATTACTATATGTTATATATGTTACATATGCACTATTAATATATAGTTATATATTATATATGAAGATATAATTACATATTAATATATATTATGTTATAGAATATATATTATAGAATATATATGCTATATATTATATAGTGTATGTTATATATGTTATTAACATATGTTTTATATATAC